TTTTTTTTTTTTTTTTTTTTTTTTTTTTTTTTAATTCCCTCTATCACCTAACGAGTATCCTTTTATACACGTATTATACCAACGAGACGAAGCGAATTCCGCGAATGGACTCGAAATTATTCAAATTGTAGTTTACGAAATGAATTATTCAATTATTTCCCGAAGAAGCGGCGGTCGCCATGCTCCACGGCATACCGAACGAGAACCGACGGCTCGTCCGTGTCTTTACAAAATTTACGCTCTCGCTGAATTTTGATCGCGCTCGAATTTCCCCTTCCTCTCCCAACCCTTCCCCACCTCCCCTCCCCCGAAAACTCTTTTTCTTGTTCATTTTTACGGGAAAGTTTCCCTGCTCTGTTCACCGAAACCGTATTCCAAATCAGATGGTGTTCAATTACGGAACGATTCTTTCTTTCCGGCGGTCCCCGGGTATTTTGTATCATTGATATTCACTTAGCGGTAGCCCGTTTTATTATTCATTTCATTACCAGACCTATCCTCTTAATCAACTTCCACACCCCTATCTCTAACAACTCCGGTATACTCGCAGAGTAGAATTCTTCGCCTCGAGGCAATGAATAACTCTACCTTACCTATTCGTCTATCTAATTCTTTCATCCTCCGCCTCGATACTTCTCCCTTTCTCTATCTCTATCTCTATCTATCTTATCTATCTATCTATCCATCCATCTATCTATCTATCTCTGTCGCTTTTCCCTTTTTTTCTGAAATCCCTTGCACATATTCCCTTCTTTGTTTCCAACCCTTTCCTACATCCTTTTCCCTACAATTTCACCTGACTCTTTTCTCTCTTTCCTTCCATCCCTTTCGTCCACCTCTTCCTCTATCTCTTCAACTTCCTCCCCCGTCATATATGTACATTCTGCCTCGTTCATCCCTCTCCCACCAACGGAGCATTGTCTTTCCCGTCCATCCTTCTTAAAGAGTGTCAGTTCTCTCTGGCAGCTGACTCTTTGTGTACCACCGCGTCTGTCTTTACAATTTCGCAGGCTTTTCCACTGTCTTTCACTCATTTCTACTCTCTCTCTCTCTTTCTTTCATGCCTGTTATATCTGTCACCTTCCATACAACAGAGCACACCCATTCTCGCACTCTATCCCACGCAATTTTCCATCGTCCCTCCAACACTGGTGTTCCTTTCCCTCCCACCATTCTCCTCCTGTCCTCTCATTTTCATCTTTTCTACTCCATCGTCAGCCCCACACCCTTTCGCGTCCGCGACGTCTTCACTCTTTCCCCTGCTGCTACTACTCTAGCATTCTCCACCCTATCGACTTCACGGTACTCTCTCTCTCTCTCTCTCTCTTTCTCTTATACACTGTCCGTTCTTTGTCGTTCTATCAGCTCTTGCACACGTTACCGTTCCTCTTCACCGTTATTTATCTCGCCTATTCCCCCTTTAAACAGGTTGCTTCTGGTGGATCAGCTCTCGTCCCTCTTCCACGCATATCCCTCTCGTTCAACGGCAGACAGTGTGTCAACATCTCTACACTACACACCCCCTATGGCTGTTGCCTTTCTTCTTGTTCTTCCTTTTCTTCTTCCTCTTTGTTTTTTTTTCTAGTTTCCTATTTCTTCTCTCTCCTTCTTTGAACTATTTCGATGCTTTCTACTACTTCCGTCGCACCACTCCCGTAATTTTCTGTTTCATTTGGGTATCGTGCTTAGCATAAAATTGTGTTTATACGAATGTCTGTTGAAAAAGAGAGGACAATCAATTTGCACATGTATTTGTATTTTATACGTGTAGATTATACGTATTAAATATAAAAGAATTGGTACACTATACAATTCCTACACAATACTTGTGATTCTTCGTTCGTAGTTAATTTCTTAATCAAGTTGACCTTCATTTAGAGATGTGTCTGTAATCATTTGAACTACTCCCGTGATTTTCTGTTTCATTTGTATCGTGCTTAGCATAAAATTGTGTTTATACGAATGTCTGTTGAGAAAGAGAGGACAACCAATTTGCACATGTATTTATATTTTATACGTATTAGATATAAAAGAATTGGTACACTATACAATTCCTACACTATACTTGTGATTCTTCGTTCGTAGTTAATTTCTTAATCAAGTAGACCTTCATTTA